AGGTGACAGATGATCAGGACGATGAACAGGTGGATGATTGAGGGAGTGAGTTCAGGTGTGGAGACAAGAGGATGCTGGGAAGTGTAGTGAAGATGACGAAGACAGAATGGTGCAGACAAAGACTTTGACAATTATATAGTCAGTGAATAATTTTTCAATGATTATTAAACTTTATGGATTAATTTGCTTTAGCGTGTCGATTTTCTTGCAGTTTTTAAAGTCTTAAAATGTCTTAATTTTTACCATATTAAGGCTTATAGGTCAAATATTTAACAATTTAATTAATGGGGTCTTAATTACAACAATAAACGTTTGCATGTTATTTCAGCCATATTGAGGCATGACAAGACGTGAAATAATCACGTTGGTCCACTTTGGAAAACGTGTAGATGTCACGGTTTAGTTTAAACTCAGAACCATAAATAGGGCTATACTGCCCTCTTGTGTCAAATTATATTTCTATATTTATTTTTACAACAAATAAAACCAAACCTGCAATATTAAAAACCCGTCCAATACACCCTTGAACTCAAAAGATGCAGTGGCTCAGTTGATAAAACGTTGGGCTTTAATCAAGAAGTCCTGGGTTCAATTCCCATATTTGCGTTAATTTGATGTGATTAGCTATATCAAACAAAGTGGCTTAAACAATATTTCTTTAACCCGGTATCGTGACAAGACGTGAAATAATCACTTTGGTGCACTTTTGAAAACGCGTAGATGTCACGGTTTAAACCCCCTCAAACGTGAAACTTACACGTTTGCGTTAACACGCTCCAAGAGATATCCGGATGTTTATTCGCCTCTGCCATAACGACCTATTGGTTTTCATTAAATCGAGAAAATTGAATTTTGTTTTATTTACGATCACTGAGAAATGTTCTATTATTTAAAATGCAAAAAAAAAAAAAAAAAAAAAAAAAAAAAAACATTTATTATTTTCAAGGTGAAAATGATTCATTTGCCTGGATCCATGCCGAAGAAAACGTCTAAATGTCACGATTTTAATAAAGCAGCCTAATGAATAAAATGTCTATTTTTCCGGCGCCCCCCTAGCTCCTCATTTAAGCAAAAGGTACGCTAAAAACAACGTATTACATCGACATTAAACCACGTTAACCGTGTTAACCACCTTTTAAATACTCGACCTAGTTCCATTGCTTAGCAACGAGAAGAAACTCCTGTAACTTCAGTGCCCAACCCGTATCACGACAAGACGTGAAATAATCACGTTGGTCCACTTTGGAAAACGTGTAGATGTCACAGTTTAGTTTAAACTCAAAACCACAAATAGGGCTATACTGCCCTCTTGTGTCAAATTATATTTTTATATTTATTTTTACAACAAATAAAACCCCGTCCAATAGGCCCTTGCACTCAACAGATTCAGTGGCTTACTTGATAAAGCGTTGGCCTTTAATCAAGAAGACCTGAGTTCAATTCCCATACTTGCGTTATTATGTTGTGATTATTTCATAGCCTACAAAAGTGGCCTAAACAATATTTCTTCAACCCGGTATCGTGACAAGACGTGAAATAAACACGTTGGTCCACTTTTGAAAACGTGTAGATGTCACGGTTACACTTAAAACTTACCATCACGACCTATTGGTTTTCATTAAACCGAGAAAAATGGAATTTTCTTTTATTGACGATCACTGAGAAATGGTCTATTATTTAGAAAGCAAAAAAAAAATAAAAATTTTTTTTATTAATTTCAAGGTGAAAAGGATTCATTTGCCTGGATCCACGCCGAAGAAAACGTCTAAATGTCACATTTTTAATGAAGCAGCCTAAATAGTCCACTTTGGAAAATGTGTAGATGTCAGGTTTTCATTAAACCGAGAAAAATGGAATTTTGTTTTATTTACGATCACTGAGAAATGTTCTATTATTTAAAATGCAATATATAGGCCTTATATTATTTTCAAGGTGAAAAGGATTCATTTGCCTGGATCCACGCCGAAGAAAACATCTAAATGTCACGTTTTTAATGAAGCAGCCTAATCAGTAAAATGTCTATTTTTCTGGCGTCCCCCCAGCTCCTCGTTTAAGCAAAAGGTACGCTAAAACAACATGTTACATCGACGTTAAACCACGTCAACCGTGTTAACCATAACCTTTTAAATACTCGACCTAGTTCTATTGCTTAGCAACGGGAAGAAACTTCTGTAACTTCAGTGCCCAACCCGTATCACGACAAGACATAGGCTAATCACGCTTGGTCCAATTTGGAAAACGCTAGATGTCACGGTTTAACTCAAACCCATAAATAGGGCTATATTGCCCTCTTGTGTCAAATTATATTTCTATATTTATTTTTCCAACAAATAAAACCAAACCCGCAATAAAAGCCCATCCAGTACACCCTTTAACTCTTATTTCAGGTTAGGAAATCATATCGCTAGCATCAACGTTTCTGTCTAACTTTAGCTATTGTAACCGATGTCACTTTTCATCTCGCGAGCTTATACTGCTTTTAATCGGCGTTTTTTTTTAATAAAACATACACTGAAAATGGAGAATTAACATCGCAGTCATGTGATTTAGTCAGCTTTATTAACATTATTATAATATATTATTATTTAACACAGATGTTATTTGCTAATTACATAAACTATAAGCTCAATTCATTAGTATAAATATATATTTAGTATATAAATATATATTTATAAATATATATTTAGTATAACATTTTTAAGTATATTTGTATGGTCCTCGAATGTGTTCAAATATTTCACCAGTATCAGCCTTTTCACAATTTGCTTGTCTGTGTTTGCCCAACTTGCATTATTAAGTAAGTCAGTAGGTGGCGACAAGTGACTGTCTTTTTGAGTGAACAATTTAACTTTAACTTAACAGATTAGTGCCAAAAAAATTGATTATCTAACCTTAGAAAGAAACAAGTTGCTGAAACCAATCTTTAATGCTAATAAATTGCTCATTTTCGTCTGGACACAAACAGATTGCACTGGTGTTTGATTGAAATTCATCTAGGCTATGCAAAATAATCCTTGAAAGATTTCTCATTAAGGCCATTCCTGTTAGGAATATGGATTGTGTATCGTCAACAATAAGCAGAAACATTCTGCATTTGCATCCAAGCGTGGATCATTCATTTCAACATTTATCCTCATTCTCATATTTAAGAATCTGTCATCTTTTATGCTACTGCCAGTGCCCATTGACATACTTTTAAAGCTATTGTTATACCATTTTTATGACCTTTAAACACCCTAAAATGCACACATGTAGGTCTGAGAAATCCAAATTTTCTCGGGGGGGGGGTATGCCCCCGAACCCCCCTAACTTCCTCACCTTTCAATGTGTGTGACTGTGTGGTTATGTGGGCTGGTATGGTTACAGTGCCAGGGATGCCAGTCTGCCGCTGCATATAGGCCTGCAATATGCATTATTCTCTGTATCGAATCATGTTATCTTATTCCCCACCCCAGCCCCTGATGTTTCGGGTTCAGCCCCTGATGTTTTTGAAACCTAGAAACGCCCCTGGAAATAGAGGTCCACCTACTTTTCTTAGGGGGGGTTCATCAAGGTGGAGTAGCTATAGTTTAATTGTATTAACGACAATTTTGCACTTATTTTATCTACTCCAGTAAAAAAAAAAAAATTCTGAAGGATGACCCACCCACATTTTTTTTTGCTTCCGACGCCCCTGTATTGAGGTCTAGAGAAAAAAAGCCATTTTACCTGGCCCACTTTAGCTGGAATAAAGTCCTGCTCGGATGCATTACAGTGGCTGCTTTCTGTCTAAGCAAAAGAAAGATTAAAGTATAATTTCTGCAATAATGTGTTTAATTACCCACCAAATTGGTATCAAAATGGAAGATTATGCACTGGGGGAAATTTTTAGACCTTGCTTAATTTGAAATGTCCTAAATACATGGAAGTGCTAAAAAATATTAAATAAATGTCATTGAAAGGATAAAATTTTACTTTCTAACACATGTTGAGACATTGTTACAACATTATTTTTTTTTATTTAAATGTTCAAATAATGTTTTGGCAGATAGAGAACCTTATAATTCTAAGCGAAAAGTGTTTTTTTTTAGAATTAGATGGTTCTATCTGCATTTGACCCATTCCAAAAATCCCCATTTACAAATTTGAGAGGATTTTGATATTGTATGTTTAGAATACATTTAGGGTCCCTGTAATTTTCATGTTTGAATGAAACTTGTTCCCCATATAAATTTTCCTATATGTAATGCAAAAACTTTGAAGCTCAATATCTCAAAACTGCTCAGAACCCAGATAGAACCTTATATTTCCAAGGGGACGATACTTCAAGTAATAGATTCTGCAAAGTTCATTATACCTAATTACATAGAAATGAGATTATTCCGAATGCATGTAAATTGTTACCGCAATAAATAATATAACACATCCTTTCTTAAAGGGAGGGACTCTGGTATCCAGAAAGGTGTCACACGCCAGATGATACTGCGCTTATCTTGTGATAAAATGGAGCTGAAGAATGAAGCACAATATCTGTTAATGGGTCAGAACAACGAAATCTCAGTTCTGAATAACGATGGACAACAGTAAGCCTTGAAATCTGAAGTTTATTAAAAAAGACAAAATGCAAATTGTTTTTTGATTCATAAAACATTGTTCTTCTATTGTTTCTGAAGTTTCAGGTATATACTGAACAATGACATGTGGATCGAGAAGATACCAGAAGAAAAGCAATGCAAGGCAACCTCAAGTCGCTCTGCCTGTTCTGATCTTAATGAATTTATAAAGAACCACCCCATTAAACGCTGTGATATTTAGAAAACATTACGGAGATGGTAAAATAACCACTTAAAACATCATTATTTGGCTCTGTAATTCATGTGCTTTTATTTCTAGTGCTTATATGGACATATAAAGAGACTGTTACAGTTGTTTGATACATTGGAAAATAGAGTCAAGCATTTCAATTCAGTTTTCCGTGTTATTGGCAATACAGTAGATTCACGTCACTTTTCATTCTGATACATAGAGGGAAGTCAAAATGGAAGAAATTTACGATAATTCCAGATATTATCTCTTTGACACGACTTGACCTTTAGCTTTTCAGTATTACAACACCATAAAACAAGGGTCCTCTTTTTAGGGGTATTTTTAGAGATGCTACATTTCTGAGCACCAATGAGTGCATTATTGCAGTTTAAATAAATACTATGTTTAAAATCCTTCATGTGTCCTATTGTGGTTATACACTGTACAGTTTTATTATGGAATACTGTATTTAGTGGCCTAAACAACGCTGTCTTTTTATCGCTTGCACTCGTTCAAGACCCTATAAAGTACAGATGATGTCCTGATTGTGAATGCATTGCTTTTGTGAACGTCGTGGTGTAACATCTGGGCCAAAATGATCAAACTGTCAATGCATTAAATGTTTTTTTTTTTCTTTTACATTTTTCATTAATTTTCCTACATTCATAGAAAACAAGCAATAAAACAAAATAAAAAAACAGTAGTAAATGCTTCAGTAATACAGTAAACTATGGCAAGTACCCTGCAAATTGTTCTTCCATGAATTTGGCAACTTAAAATGCAGCAGTGTCTGTGTGATTTCATTTTTCTCTTATTGTTTTATGTTCATATTTCCATTGTCTTGATATGACAGATTCCCTTTAATGTGGTGCATGAGAAAAAAACTGTTGTACTTCACTAGACATTAGCTTTGTACTGTACAACTTGTGAAAACCACTGAAGGCAGCAGATAACTGCAGATAAACAAAACACTTCAACTTAGAAAAATAACTTGTACATTATACCATTGTGTACAAAATAAATAACCTTGCTTCATAACCTTTTTACGTGAATACAAAGCATGCAATATGTCAATTGTGCTGTTGTGGTCAGTGATATGTAGCAAGCCCAAGTCGCTTTTAAAATCAGAGGCACGATGAACCTACAAGCAGTTCTAGTAAAGCCAGTAAAGCACATTGACAGCTGGGTAATTTTAATATTGAGCTTTAGCGCACTAAGAGAGAGCGGATCTCAAAATAAGATATTACAGCAAATCAATGGCGATCAAATTTACACCATATGATACAAATACGTACACATGTACATTTAGCCAATGCACAAAAGGCCAGTTTGATGTGAGATTTTGAGCTCCATCCGCAGGTCATTCTTAAGCTGTTGCATTAATGATTGGCCTAGAAAATATTTATTCCCTGCAATTCATGTTAAGGGTTTGTTGAGCAGCTTTAAGTTTTGCATGAAAGATTTTGTAAAAAGCACAAATATAGCTGCCCTCTCAGTCACTGTTACATACACAGCGCCTGTTATTACTTGCTAGGGTTCGATATGCAGTACATTCATTTAGGAAATGACTATTAACACAAATTGATCAAATAGGGATGCAACATTCATGAAGCCCTGGGTTTGTTCACATCAACATCAGTCAAATGGCTGGAAATGTATGTGCAGAGACTTGTGCAAAGGAAAACGTGAAATGCCAAAGAGCTTACAGTAGAACTCTTCCATCACGGCGAGTCGTTACTGCAGGTATCGGTATACTTTGAAGCAGTGGTTCCCAGAGTCTGCCACGGCCACGTGACCATCTGACGTGAGAGCCAGACCCTGCGGACCGTACAAAGGATCCGCCGTCGTGTTGATGTACGACAGGAAAGAGCCAGAACTGTCAAACACCTACATGACAAAAATATATAGTTTGAATAGATTTTATAATAATAATTTTAACATTACATACACAAAATAAAATTATAAAAATAAATCAGGGCTAGGTGGTTGAAAGAAAAAGCAATATATATATATATATATGGTACCATAATACATGCTGTAGAAGGATTGTTCATTGCTAGTTCATGTTAAATAATGTTAATTGTATTTTGGCTAAAAGAAACAGCAAATGTCTCAGAAAAGTCCAATTGTTTCTTTTTATAAAAATTGTATTTAGTTACAACTTAGTTCTGAGGAAAGATCTATAATATTTTAGTTTGCAGATGCTTTTTGATATTTTATTTAATGCAATAAAATTCACAAATTTGGAATTCTGTCTAAAGTGTGCAAATACTTGGGTCATTATATAGAAAAGTCAATATAGAAAATGAATTGGCCCAAACTATAAAACTACTATAAATTATAGTAAATGTGAAGATAAAAATCAGAGTGTTCCACAGCCTATACCTGTATCCTACTGTTACCCCAGTCTGCCACAATAATATTCCCATTGCCATCAACAGCCACACCGGTGGGTGCGTTGAACTGGCCGTTCCCTTCTCCATGCGATCCAAATTTAAACAGGAACTCTCCATCAGCATTGTAAACCTGCAAGAAGCCGTAAATCAAACAATACATATCCAGAGGAAAGAAAGACCACAAAAAAAGAAATGAAACAAGCATCTTTGATTTGCAAAAGTTGAAATGTCATTAATTAGAGACAGAACATAATAACAGACAGCAGACCTGGTTCGATTTGGATAAATAAATGTTATGGCATGTGGAACAATTTACGCAATAAAAGGGAAGAGCTCAGCATACCTTAACAGAATGATTGTGAAAGTCTGTCACAACAATTTCATTCTTGTTGTTTATAGCCACAAAATGGGGACCTTATGGCCATAGAAGGAGAGAGAAAGAGAGAGAGACTTATTGTTACATTCAGAAGATATTGTTTTGTTTCTAAGGAAGTGTGGAAGCATAGAGAACACACACGTACACACACTTCTCTCAGCATTGCTCACTTTATGTGGATAATCAATTATTATACAAAGCTTTCATTGTTTTCAGTTCATCTAAAAATTGAAAAAGTTGAATACGCACTGAAGGCAGGGCCAGATTTACTCTGCTTTGGCTCAGTTGGTGTATTTGGAGTACTTTTATCTGAAGAGAAACAGAAAGATTAAAACATATGCTCAAGACCAATGCAGTAGCACAAGAACCTTGTCAAAATAAGAGACATCACCTGCAAACTGCCTCTCTGATGTTCCTTTGGCACCAAATTTTGTCACCAGTTTGCCATTGGATTGGAAAATGAAGACACAGCAGGCCTTGTTGTCTGCTGTGATAATATGACCATTCTTATCCACAGCCACTCCTTTAGGACCCATCAGCCGACCTGCCCCGATTTTATTCTGCCAGAAAGTAAAACACATTAGCACTTGACTAGCAGCTACTAATTAATCAAATTATTGTGGTAGATATTTATATAGTTTTTTATTTTTTTTTTGGTAATGTAAGTTTTTAATGTTCAAAAACTATGATGAACGAATTTTTTTATTCTATTTTATTTTTAAATTATATGAAATTTTAAATACCAAAAATGTATTTTCTATAATTTCTAGAATTATGTTTTATTTTAGAATTTCAAAAAGTTATTAATGAATTACAGTATTTTATTATAGTTTTAATGCATTTTATATTTAATTTATTTAATGCTTTTTTATATTAATAATTTTTTAACAATTAAAACTGAAATCGTATAAAAGAAATGCAACTTACTTTAAACTTGCCATCTGGGGAGAAGATGTTGAGCCATCTGTTGTCATAGTCGGCCACAATAATGTCGCCATTCATGTCAACTGCAACACCAGTGGGGCGCTGGAGCTGGCCAGGTGAGCGACCTCTGACCCCGAACTTCAATTTGAACTGACCCTCATTGGAGAACACCTATACGATTACAGAATACACCAAAAGTGATTTCGTATACACAGTCCACATTTATTAATACATTTACTTAAAGGAGAACTCCGGCGAACAATGAACCTTAGGTCTAATAAAACATCGGTACATAGTCAACCGTTCTCTGAGATTTGTTCATAATAATCGAATGTAAAGAGTTTTATCTCTAAACAGTTTTATCTCTTCGCGTAAACAGACAGGAGCCATCTTAAAAAATAGTCTCGATAAGTCAAACCACGAACGTCGTGCTGAGTGATCTGAACTGTATGAAGTTCAGCAAACTTCTGAACTGTATGAGCAGCATTCGGGGATCGACTTATCGAGACTATTTCCTAAGATGGCTCCTGTCTGTATACGCTAAGTGAACTGTCTTCATAAAGTATCTTCTTATTAAACTGTCTGTACACTTACAAAGTTCTCAATGCTTCGTTTTGCATGTAGGGACCCTCATTATGTTACTGCGTTAGTGTGGGGCTATTTTGAACCTTGTTAGTGGTATAAACTAGCCATTTCTTTTTACTTGGTCAATGCCCCCATTACTAGCTTTATACGCTAAACAGTTTTTAGAGATAAAACTCTTTACATTCAATTATCATGAAAACAAATCTCAGAGAACGGTCGACTAGGTAGCGATTTTATTAGACCAAAGGTTCATTGTTTGCCGGAGTTCTCCTTTAATAAAGGATTAGTTCACTTTCAAAGTCTTTCTTTCTTCAGTCGAAAAGAAATTAAGATTTTTGAGGAAAACATATAATGGGCTTCAATCGCAACCGACAATTTGAAGGTCCAAATGTCAGTCTCAATGCAGCTTCAAAGGCTCGACACGATCCCAGCCGAGAAATAAGGGTTTTATCTAGAGGGTAATTTTCAAAAAAAAAAAGTATTCTTTTTAAACCATAAATGCCAAGTACCATCTCTGAGATCCGCCTCGCATTACGTCATCACGTTGGAAAGGTCACGCGTGACATCATTAAACATCCAGAATATGCACATGTAAGGACCATTTTAAACAATAAACTGACAAATCGTCAGTCATTCAACATACAATAACCTAGAATAGTCCTACTCCAAACTTGTAAACACTGGGTCGGTACTTCCGACTACGTCCGAGTGACCTAACCAACGTGATGACGAAATGCGAGGCGCATCTCAGAGAGAGTACAAGATGGGCATTTGTGGTTAAAAAGTATAGGTTGCCAATGAACTCCATTATATGGAGAAAAATCCTGGAATGTCTTTTTCAATTTCTTTTTGACTGAAGAAAGAAAGTCATGGACGTGGCATGGGGGTGATTAATTTATCAGGACATTTGTTTTTTTGTTTTTTTGAAAGTGACCTACTCATTTAAAGGTGGCCGACAGGCTGCTTAGTGTTACCTGTATGCACTGGTTGTTGCTGTCGGCCACTACGATTCGTCCGTTGCTGGTGGTAGAGATGCCCTGCAGGTTGGAGAACTCCCCCCGCTCTCGCCCCCGCGTCCCTGTCATATCAAATAAGAGCTGAGCTGACACATTCTGACGCAGGCCAACAATAAAGCACAATGCAGGAATGACCTTTTCATCTTTACAGATTAACTTTGTCCTTTACCATGTCCCTTTAGGTGCTCCGTAGATTTATAGTGCAAGTATTTTTCGTTTAGAAAAATATGTTTCATACCAATTTTCCAAGCAATTCCTGTGACATTGAAAATTCCACGACTTTTAAGATTATTTACATTTCCATGGCTGAAATCTCATTTAGTACAAAATAAATTAAAAAAAAAAAATCCCAATTGGAAATATATTTAGATTTAAACCTTCACATACCAAAATGTATTACAAACTGTACTTTTAAAGTATATTTACAATTTGAAACGTATCTTAAATATGTATTATTACATTTCAGAACACAATCTGTTGTAAAGATATAAAATATAACACCCTACTCTTAACTCACCCACTCTAAAGATGAGTTCATCCTCTATGGGATTCTCCTTCTTCTTCGTTGTGCTGTACATACTTGAAGGTCTGCGCACCGCCTTCTGGCGCACATGTCCTCCAGCCCCTCCACCTGCTCCGGGAGACTTGACGCGCCTCTTCACGTCGTCGGGCGACTGCGGGGCGTCGCAGGGTTTAATGGCTCGAAGGCGAAAGGGGCTGCCCCTCACAGGTTGCCCGTAGAGCAGGACGGAGAAGGAGAACTCGCCCTCTGAGCGGAGCGTGTAGCCGATCTCGTAGGTGCCATTCTTGTTGTCTGTTATGTCTGTTTGGGTGATGGTTGCATCTGGGCCGCAGATCTGAGCCCTCAGTGCAGCATTTCCAGTCTTTACTAGCTCACCGTCTTTGTCCTAGGGGAGGCAGTTGAAGACTTATGCTACAAAGTACGACCCGAAATCGACCTACAGCATTTATAAGGGCTTTCCCTCTGAAACAACATGTGGTTTGTGCTTTGTTCATTTTATTAGCTCAAACCTACAACAACAACATGCATTTTCTGTAAAGCTGCTATGCATTTAAATTTGAACTGAACTGATTTACTTTTGGCAGATATTGGAGATTCGACATTAATAATATAAAATATACATCATTCTTTTAATTACAAAAATAATTATAATTTATAAAGCAATTTACATAATTTAATTTGAATTTACGTATTGTTAAATTATTATATCAAATATTACATTTAGATATTATGATTTATTTTCATAAATATCTTTTTAATATTATTTTTAATAACATTTAAATAAACAATTTGTCAATAATAAATAAATAATTATTTATAATACATTTAAAATAAACGATTTTTTTTAACAATAAATAAACATTCAAATGAAATCAATACAAAAAAGCAATAATTTATAATGATTACTTTATATTTAAATTTTTTGTAATCTTGTTTGTAATTCCATCATTCATTTTAAATGTATTATAATATAGTTTAATTCATTATTGATTATTTATGTATATATAAAGTAATTTACATAATTTAATTTGAATTTATTGTTAAATTATTATATCAAATATTACATTTAGATATTATGGTTTATTTTCATAAATATCTTTTTAATGTTATTTTTGATAACATTTAAATAAACAATTTATCAATAATAAATAAATAATTATTTATAATACATTTAAAATAAATGATTTTTTTACAATAAATAAACATTCAAATAAAATCAATACAAAAAGCAATAATTTTTGTATAAATAATGATTACTTTATATTTTAATTTTTGTAATCTTGTTTGTAATTCCATCATTCATTTTAAATGTATTATAATATAGTTTAATTCATTATTGATTATTTATGTATCAGACAGAACTTTTATCACTGCAATCCTAATTAATCACATAAGTGTCTTATTCACAAATGAAATATATTAAAATGCTGACTGATTTATGAATCTATCACAATGTAATACAGACTTTGCTAAGAGCCTGTTTTCGAACAATGAAGCAGTGTACATTATATCGGACACAACAGCAGACCCGCTTGGTTTTTCAATAAAAGGTTAAGTTACAGAATGCTTATAACAGAACTCAAACACAAGATTGACACTACTAACCTTAGTGGTCACTGTAACAGTGGTGTTTTGCCCGACAACAGCATGCCTGAGACCCTCTCCAGTAGCCACGCTGGTGTGGCCCACAGCGCTGGTGGTGAGCAGCACTCCCAGGTTCTGTATGGAGCGACGCAGCCCCTCTGTCTCCACCTGACAGTCCAGGTGTCCGTTCTCATGGGGCTGCTCAGGGAAAGCGTGGCGAGCGAGAACGCCCATCCGCTCTCCCATCTGCTTCTGCACCAGGAGCACCTCGGTGGGGCTGCCGTGGTTCAGTGCCTGCTCTGTGAAGCTACAACTGCTCTGGATGTTCTCCTTCCCTTGCAGTAATGCAGTGAGTTGGGTCTGCAGCACCTGCAGCAACAGTCCATAATTACAATTGATCATTCACATAATAGATTATGTGTTTAACATTATGTGAGGATGAGTAAATAATGGCAGAATAAAACATTTTGTGTGAACTTTTCACCTTCTGCTTGGTGCTGCAGATGTTCTCCAGATCAGTGATGAGGGAAGTCTTGCGCTGGGTCAGTGCTTTCTCTAGTTCCTCGAATGTATTGCTGATCTCGCTCACTGCCTCATTCTTCCTGTCTGTGAGCTGCCTGGAGATCTCATTTACCAGCTCTATAGCTACAGTCAGCTGAGGAAGCCTGCAGATGCAGAATGAGGACAATGTTGAGCCAAACTTTCCATAAGGAGGTCATAGTGCGTAAAGAAAGGGTTAAAATGAGCTGCTGGCTCAGATTAACAGCGAGCTTAATATTATTTCTGGCAGCGTGAACCTGTTGCGAATTGCATCCAGCTGGTTCTTCAGCGCGCCTTTGTGCTGCTCCAGAACATCCCGCAGTGGAACGGTCACATGTTCTCTGTGCTCTCCCTCTGTGCACTCCAAACACATGGCCGTTTCACAAGACTCGCAGTAAAACTCCATGACCTGCAGAGGGCGACAAAAACTCATTGAAAGGCTGAACACTGATGGGAAGAGACTGAAAAAAAAATATATACAGTATATAAATATTAGCTGAAATAAAAAAATATATAAATATCAGACTATAAAGCTTACATTTAAAAAAACTTTAAATATATATATTGGATTGACACCTATCTGAATTAATAGGTTTTAGTTGAAGTACTAAAATGACTTGAACTAAAATAAAATGTAATTACACCTAAATAAAAACAATAAAAATGACAAAAGCACATATAAGAAAATTATTCAATTTGAACTAAAATCAAAAAGAAAACTGAAAATATGCACATAGATAAAAAGAAAGAACTTACATAAATAAATAAAATGTATCTATTGTTGGTATAATAATTAAATGAAATAATTTAATAAGGTCAAATAAAGCTATAATAATAAATTCAAATTATTAATAAATTCTATAACTATAGATAAATAATACAAAAATAGTACTTCTGGTACTCCTAAGAATTAGGTTGATGTAATAATATGGACATAACTGCAAATTATAATAATTACAACTTAAAGGCTACAAATGTCCCAATACTTGTACCATCTACTTGTACAAATGTATATATTTTTCCTATCAGCAGCGAAGTATGCACATTTATTTCACAGTAGGAGGCCACTGCACTACTCCTTACCTTGCCCTCGTGGTTGGGGCAGGACAGGGGTGGGGCATATGTAGCAGCACCGGCTGAGTCCAGCCCACTGGAGGCCTCGGGACGGGTGCAGTCCTGCTCCCTCTGCAACACCTCCATCAGATTAGTTATGAAGAAATTGTTCTGCAGTGCTGCAACACCCTTTTCTGGCAGGATGGAGGTCTGTCTGCACACTGGGCAGGACAGGGTCAAGGACTGAGGGGGGATGTAGTTCTGGAGGCATCTGTGACGAAAACAGTGCAAGACATAAAAGCAAGCTGTAAAGATTTCCCTCCACGTCACGTGGATTGTAGAAGAAGATACAACCCAAGACGTGATTAATAGTGCTCTGTTTTTTTCAGTCTCAATAAATCTCAGTAGTAAATATTTGTAAAGGATGAGAGAAAATAAAAGTAGTTAAGGAGGGGACATATGATCTTGTTTATAAAATCCGAGGCTCACATTCCAGGTCAGTGACGGCAGAGGGAATATGGTCATCTCAGTCTTTGCTTTACAGGGCGGTTTCTAAACATGATGTCATACGACAGTCATTCTCAACCAAAATCCAGTATCTGGGACATTGCTTTCTTAAAAGTCTGGAAGCCCATTAAGTCAAACTGTACATGTTCACACTCACAGGCACTGTGGATCTGAGTTGGGTATTTCAATTCAAAGCTAGGCGACAGACCTGCACAGAATAGTGTGCGGTGGTTTACAACAGAGTGGGGAGAGTGTTGAAATCTTGGGAAATCTTAAACTTTATGCAAATGAGTGGTGAAAAACAATGGGCGGCAGCCAATCACTGTGAGGTGAAGGCAGTGCATGTCTGTTACAACCATTTACATTTTGCCTAAATTAGATTGTTAAATAATTTACAATATTAAATTCAATAATAAACGTAATTTTAAATGCAGTTTGCAAGCTTTCAAAGTTGCTATATACTGCGGCAGGATTAACAAAAGTATATTAAATTGACGTTGAATGTGTACTTTGGCAATTCACAAATAAAGTTTGTTTAATATTTTAGTACTACTTTTAAATTTAATAAATATTACTTTGTAAAATTTCCAATGTGGCTAGACTGTTGTGGGATTTAAAAAAATATTATGACATTTATATGTGTACTTGGACAATCTAGAAATAATAATTTTAAAAAGTTATTATTATTATTTGAAGCTGCAGTCCGTAACTTTTGGTGCTCTAGCGGTTAAAAAACCGAAAGCTACTAAAAGCCGGAGATACTTCTCTCTGTTTATATCTATACTCCGCAGTGGTACGGCCCGAACCAGTCTAAAATAGTATGAATATAAACACGCATTATAGGTGTACCGTAGTGATTCAGGATAAGGCAAAAACACGGTTTGCAAAATGGATTCATAATTTTTACTTTGTAAATTTTGAACACACACAAAAAAGATTGAATATATAATATGTTTTAGTAAAATGATTGTAAATATTGTTTCAGTGTTTTTTTATGTGTACTAAATTGATACTCTGGCAATTCAGAAATCAAGTTTGTTTTTAAATGTAATCTCATTTTATTCAAATGTAATAAATATGATATTATTTTATAAAATGTTCAGCGTGGCCAGTATTAAATTGACATTGTATGTTTCCTCCATCAATTGGGAAATTATGTTTATTTTATTTTTTAATGTATTTAAGAAAAATTCTTGTATAATTTAGTAAATATAGCTACAGAACTAAAAAACATAAACTTAAAGACTTAAAAACGGCATCTAGATGGAGCCTCATTCAACAGAACTATCCAAACGATCCGATTCACTACAATAAACCAAATTCCCAAACGTTTCATAAGAGAGAGAGAGTGGACAGCAAGCATGTTTCATTATTACCTCAGTTTGCTCAGCTATAATACAAAATTACAAGAACAAAAAATTAAGACGTACAATGCAATTTTCTGGAGAATTTATTTGTCATGCAATTAAAAATGCAGTTATTTTAGTGTGTTTTTTTGTTTTGTTTTATAGTAGTTACTACCCAACACTGGATCATCTTGAAGACAACTAGATTGCTGTGATTTTACAGACACACCCCCAAACCCACAGACCTCTAGTGTTTTGGGCGGTATTGAGCGCATTTCTTCCACACAAGCGAACACAGACAGTCTTGGTCATTTTCTGACAGTCGCATTCAGGCTATTCGATCATTCATCCACGAGCCACTTTTATTGTGATGTGTCAGTTTACCTCTCGCAGAAGGTGTGCAGGCAGGGCAGGACTTTGGGGTTGTGGTAGTGCTCCAGACAGATGCTGCACACCAGGAACTGCTTGTCTATTTGACGCACCACCGGGCTGGTGCTGCCGCTTTCCCGCTTAGCCATCGTGAGAGGCATTCAAATGAAGAGACAGAGGCTTCTCAGACTATAAGAGAGAGAGAGAGAAAGAGAACGTTAATCTTTGAATACAGCTGTAGATGTGCATATTTCATCCCTACAATCCCATGTTTATGCAAAGATCTTGCATAATTTCAAACTGTCGTTCCATGCAAAATCACACAAAGGTTTTTATGCATGACAAGGTTTTAAGAATAAAATCACACCTAAATACAATGAAATAATATTTCCACACTTTTGCAAAAGAACAAAAAAATGTATTTAATTGATTAAAAATGTTGCACAGTACTAACACATGCAACACATTCTAGTAATATTTACACTGATTTTGGATCTCATGTTTTTTTCTAAAATATGCCCGCCAGTATTTAAAATGTAGCGCATGAGTGCATACTACATAAAAATTCACACTTTTGCGTCACCATATGCACGCGGATTCCACCCATAACGCTCGTCTAAACACAGAAAAAAAAATGTGATAACGCAACGCCACTTTTGCGTTTTCTCTTCAGATCATTTTTCGTGTAAACATAGCCTTAGTGTAATCCGCCTCTAACACACACAAGCTCTTGAAACCCCGCCCTCTGCAGCAGCTCATTTGCATTTAAAGGGCCAGGCACAAAACGGTGCGTTTTTGCAAACCCTCAAAAAGTGACCACTTTAAAATGCTATATAAAAATATCTGTGGGGTATTTTGTGCTAAAACTTCAGACACACACTCTGGCAACATCAGAGATTTATTTTACATCTTGTGAAAATGGCATTTTACCAACCCTTTAATAAAAAATAAAAGTGTCCTTAGGAATGAACAGATTGATGCGTCTAATCATGCTCCATCAGCTATATCCATGACACACATCCATGCGAACATCTGTCTGCTCAGATAGAAAACAGATTAACCCTGTTCTCTCCATCAACTACAACATGTTCTTGTTTAGAATAAATGAATGTGAACAACAGAGCAGCAGTTTATCATCCACAAACAAATGTGAAATCCCATGATACCCAAAACATAACAGTCTTTCTGTTATTGAGTCATAGTCTGTCTGTGTTTTTGTAAGCAAACGGTATTGTTTGTTGTTCCAGCATCCATGTGCTTCCTCGTCTGTTGTGATTTTCCACCTCTGACCCATGCCTGATTCCCTGTTGTTGGTTTTAGGATTAGAGTGCCTCGTTTTTACTCATGTCAAATCAAATGAGGCCTGTACTCTGTAGCTAACATTAGTGCAGTGTGATGAGTGAACACACCAGCAGCTGTGAGAAGACAGGAAAACTGCAGACTCATCCATCACATCCTGGGATTAGAAACTTCCCAATTCGATCATGACTAACCTGTAACGTCAAAACGTTCTGTGCTTCTTGTGTAATCTTTCATTTCCAGCTTGTGGAAAAGCAGCAGACTGTGGTTGCCCAGAGCTGAGGCAATATTCTCTTCTTTTTATGCTGCCTAAAGTGTTTTTTTTTAGACTTTAATATAAAACACGCGCGCGCACACACACACACATTTGAAATAATATCTATCTGAGCACCGCACCTTTCATTTCCGTCTCATCGCAGGAGGAAGGAAAAAAAAGGAAGTCTCTAAAAGGCACTTCCTAAAAATCCTCCCAGTTCCTTCCTCCGTTCACACACACAGGGAGAGGGAGAGGGAGAGAGAGGGAGAGAGAGAGAGAGAGAGAGAGAGAGAGAGAGAGAGAGAGAGAGAGAGAGAGAGAGAGAGAGAGAGAGAGAGAGAGAGAGAGAGAGAGAGAGAGAGAGAGAGAGAAAAATCTCAATCATTCAATCATCATTTGATAAATTATGGGGCCATTCACAAATAACACATTTGAAAAAATATTATCTCTTAAATCTCAAAAGCTGTAAATAATACAGGGTGCACCCTGCCAGACATTATTAGGGGATACATTTACAAATAATTTATATAATAAAGTTCTAATATAATGTATAATAAATATAATGGCTGTCATAAACATAAACATGTTTTCACGATGGATTTATTAAATAATACATTTAATATTGGAGAATAGTTTGAGTAAAAATATACATTTTTCAATAGCTGTCGAGCTATCATCACTCAATGGCTTTGATGTATTTTTTGCAAGCTGTTTTATTGATTAAAATCAAGAAATTGCTTATTTTTTTATCCAACCCTATGATAGACAGTTTGCAAATACTGTGTATATATATATATATATATATATATATATATATATAATTTAATCATAGCAAATATGATGCACAAAAATAGCTGAAATAACATGTGCAACTGCTTAGTAAATCCCCCCCACCCTTAATTCCCATGTATACACACACAAAACACTAAAAAGATTATCCATGGTCATGAAAAACACACCAGACAGAGCTGTGGATTTTCTCAAGCAGACCTCATTGTTTGGTTTCCTGCACGCTCGAGCCCAGTAACCAAGAAACCCCAGCGCGGCCCCCCCTCGGTGTCCCACCCCACCCCCTTCATCATAAGCCCTGAATGAGAGCAGCTGAACGCTGACATCACAGCTGCCCATCCCTCCTTCTTTGACCACTTCTTGCTGTCTCTCCCTCTCTTTTCATGCTTTCGAGATTATTATGCTAACTCTAAAGACCAGTAGAAATTTTAAAAGCCTTTAGCTGTAGTATTTCAGAGTCTGTGTCAGGCATTACAGTCAATGTCCTGTGGACAGACTAGAGAAAAAGTGAAATTATTAAACTGTAAACATGTTACTTTTTGTACCTTATGGTCACTGTCTGATATATTAGCCTTGTGAAAGTTAGTCCCAGTCTCACCATGTTTCAACATGAGGATGGGTAGATGATGACAACATTTGTCTTAACTAGCATTTACTGGAGATAAGAGCTGAGCAAAGTCAGTCAATTCATCAGAAGTCCAAACTACTGATTGTGCAAAATGCAATATTAAAGGCACACTATGTAACTTTTGGCCCTAGCAGTTAAAACAAAACTGCATGCATTTTGCGGAAGAACAATGTTTTAGTTGTGCTAACTTATATATATACGTATGTATATATATTTTTATAACTAGGCTAACTCTCTATTATGTGATTTAATGTTTGTTGCTGTACTGGATTGATTGATCATCACTGTCTTTTTCATCTACGCATTTTGAGCTATCCGCGTGTATATGTCCGAGTGAAACGAAGCAAAATGTAGATCTACATCTGGGGAGCGATATTTTTTTCCTAGGATGGTAGGGGAAGACTCATAAATGCTATTAACTCCAGTGACAGGGACGGGGTTGGGGTAGGTCATATATTTATACAGTTAAGTAACGTTAAGTCAACAGCGTTCATAAACACACTGAAAAGCGATTATGCATGTTGATAGCATGCCAAAAATGGAAATCCGAATTGGCGTGTCATACATACGGCATTCGTGAGATCAGTCTGGGAAAACAGTGATGGGTGATTGTTGGGCCTCTTAATCTTTACACTGAGGAGAAAATCCAATGCAACTTTGAGGCTAAACAAGCTAAACATGCTGATCATTTATATACAACACTGGACATCAACCACACGGCATACGCTGATAACTTTTCATAAACTATCTACTTTCTAAATTCTATGTATAACAGTTCTTTCTAATAACTTGTTGGACAGATCGTAAACTAATGAACACAGAGAATGCAAACACTGTTTGTTTGCTCAGGCTCTGGCGTTCTCAGCGGCGTCAAAATAAAAGTCACAACAAAGAGCGCGGCTTAAGTTCCTACTGGCGGTGCGAATGCAACCAGAAAACGTTCCTGGGGGAACCATTAGTTGTCGGGAAACCACTCCGGTGGTTATTTCCTAGAACTATCCGGTACGAAAGCCCCTATAGATAATGCTTTGCAATGAACTCTGTTAGAGAGATACATATGGCAATCTATGTGTTCACTAAACTATATCTTACTCACCTGTTGAGTAATAAAAACCGCCTTCTATGTATCACTATTACAACATTTCAAATCTCTCAGTTCTCCAAAAGCCAAGCCAATGGAAGAAGGATTGATGATGAATTGACTCACTAAAATTTATATCAAAACATAAGTTACACAGTATTATAAGTGCAGAAGTTAACAATGTTGCTATAAACTTATGTCAATAAGCCATATTATGCAAAACTCTTGTCTAATCCTTCTCACACTGTGTTAATAGCTTAATGACCCCCTGCAGCCAAAATCACCATCAACAGTCTGGATCAGATACTCTGAAAACACTGTGTGTATATTCACACCCGCACAAATCCAGAGTTTAACTTCCACAATAAATTTGATATTATTAATATTAATCCCTAGCTCATTTAGCCAAGTTGACCCAGCTAGGCAATGAATTAATTTCTGTTTCACGTGGCTGCTAGTTTTTTCTTATCCTAAATGTGTAAGTTTTCATAAGTTTTAATGAAACATTTCAATTATATTCGGTTGAAGTGAACAAAATGACTTGAAAAAAGATTTGTTCATTTTGCTGAAAAAGATCAGCCCATCACTATTTCACACAGAGTGGCAAAACTGTGATAAAAAACCTTTAAATTTCTTTCAAAAGAAAATCTTACTGACCCCAAACCTTTGAACGGTAGTGTACTGAATAAAAACTATATCCTGACTTTACAGTGGCAGCCAGAGAGAGTTCATATAGAACACAGTAAACTAAACCTTTACCTCAAACTACACAAATATGTCTTTAGATGTCCCAGATACCTGCAGAATAATGAGGACCAAGACAACAAATATTACAGCAAGTACATCTCTAGAGTACCTTCAGCAGACAGTTCTGACCCCATCATACAGTGATTTATGATTTCCTGCTGAATGAATCTCATAGTGTGCATTCTGTGCAAGCATAAATATTCAACAGCAGCTATAGTCATTGCGAAATATCATTTCAAAGAGGCTATGTGCCTTAAAAATAAAATAATATATATATATAGGTTTTGTACAATCACCACATGCAGGTATTTATTTAATAATAAAAATCATTTCTATAACAGAATAAAGGTGGATATATGCCTAAACTGAATATCATGGTTGTATTAAGC